AATTAATTTTTTCAGCCGCTTCGGCTGCTTTTTCGTCTTGATCGAAGAAAAATTGTAAAATATAGCGAATTTTCTATTTGCTGGTATCCATCTTTGATGAGCGCTCACAACGTACCGAGTCAATCAACCGAAAAACTGTCAAAGACAAACTTTTAGCGCGAATAAACACGTTTTCAGCGCCGTATAGTATGACATGATGCGACACGTAACACTAGTACTATGGACAATGACGCCATCTCTTAGATGAAAACCGAACGAATTTTTTTACTAGACCAATATATCTCGTACAGCATATCGTTCCATCGACTGCAGTATTCGCTGCTGCCTAAGCGGAAGATTTATGCAATAACTTTTTCTCTAAAACTCTATCGTCCATGACCCTGCACCACTAGCCGCAGGACGGATGTGATAAGCGACTTATAGAGTTTGGTTTTGGTTCGTTGATGGATAAGTACCAGGTGATTCTGCGTTGGATCTCAAGGTTGATATTGTTCTTACCAGGAATCAGTGTCGTAAAGTATTATTGTGTCCGATATACATACATATAAGTAATAGCATAAGCTTTGCTGTATTCCTTTCCTTTCTGTTTGTTATTAGCGCACTTAGCACATACTCATTACATCTACAATTAACTGAAAACATCTACGACATAAGTTTTTTTTTCGCACATCTCGCAGTTGCTTACTAAATTATAACGAAAATTATCAATGTAAGTTTTATATGTACATCTGTATGTACGCGTTTAGTTGTGATAATTAACAACTTTTAATTGTTGTGCTAATTTTAAATGGAAATAAGAGTTGGAATTAAATTTGCAGATCCCCGCAGTAGTTTACATACCGACTTAAATGAGATATTTCGAATGTTTAAATTATTAGTGATAAATGGTATTAGGTTGGCCCACAAAGCTGAAATGTGGAAGTGATTAGATCAGAATAACATTGAGGCTACTCTTCGAGCGCAGAAGATACATTTTGTGCTCCTCTACGTAAATTCTCATAGAAAGCGTAACTCAATCTGATGAACTACGAAACTGCAGTGGTCATACCACCATTCCTTATATGTACATCAGCCCCAGAAGAGATGTCCCGAATTTAAAAAATCAAAATGAAAACTGACGTTATTTTAATTCAACTAATAGTGGGGCTTGTTTGTTCTCAAATTTTTGAAATACATGAATATATTAATTATGGTCTGAAATATATAAATACCAGAGGTTGAAGAGATATATAACGATCGAGTCAGAATGACGGGTTGAGTTTCGATTCAACCAAATTTGGTACACATATGGTCTGGTATATTTAAACGGTCATTTATCGAAACTAGCCAGATCGGATCACTTTAATTTTAGAAACCGAAGATCATCGAAGTCGGAAAACTTCATCGTATAGCCACATCCAGCCATTTTTTTTAGATATACGAATTAATTTTTAATTCCAAAATGAAATACCGTGAATTTTTTATAATCCTGAAAGATATAAAGGCTTGAGCTTGGCTGAAACTGAAGACAGATCGTTTTTCTAGTTTTATTTTATTTTCCTAAATTTTTTAATTTATATGGTTTCAGTTTTTTTAATATGCCCTATTTAATATTTATTTATTTTAATTTTTTTTTATAATATTGTTTTATTTCATTTTATTTTATTTGCTTTTTTATTTTATTTTACTATGTTTTATTTTACATTGTTTTATTTCATTTAAAATAATTTTATTTTGTTTAATATAAATAAATAATTTGTATATTTAATTTTAACTCATTTTATTTTATTTATATTAATTTTTACAAAAATTTATGTTATTTTAATTTTAATTTATTATTATTTTTTAATTCTATCTAGCGAATATATTTTTTTATTTTAGTTTAATAATTTTTTCTTTTATTTTATTAAATATTATTTATATTTTCCTTTTTTTAGACTTATTTAAAAAAAAAAAAATTATTTCATTTTTGTTTTAATTTATTATTTTTTACTTCTATTTAGTTAATATTTTGTTTTATTTTAGTTTAAAATTTTTTATTTTATTTTATTTAATTTTTAATTTATATTTACCTTTATTTAGATTTATTTTTGTCTTACAGTTTGTTATTTTATTTCAATTTGTTATTTGTTTTAAATTTGATTAAGTTTTTATTTAACTTAAATTTATCAAAAATAATTTAATTTTACTTAATATAATTTTGTTTATATTAAGTTATTTTAATATGTTTCAATTTAATATTATTTTTTGTTCTATTTAGTTTTTATTTATTTTATTATATTTTTTTCTTCATTTATTTTATTTCATTTAATTTTAATGTATTTTATTTTAATTATTAATATTTTTTATTATTTTTAATTCTATTTAGCTTTCATTATATTTTGTTTTATTTTTTTTTTTTCAAACTATTTTATTGTTATTTTTCTAACCTCTTTTTAGGGTGGCTTAGTAACACCTATTAAAAATTTATTTCCTAACGATAATTTGTTATTGTAATACAATAAGTTTCAAATGGATTCAAAAGCTAGTAATCCATTGTTTATGTATTTATAAATTTATAATTAACACATATTAAGTGAATTAGCACAGTAATAGGAGACGAATTAATTAGATCACTGTGAGTGCGTATATAATGTAATTTATAATACATTTATAAGGTACATACATACATATATGAATCGTAAAGTGTGATCATAGTTATTAGATGTATTTGGAGAATTTGCTTTTTATCTATTCATTTTTTAACCGTTTGAAAACAAATTCATATTTTAGGTTTGACGTGAAAATAATATTTTCCAGCAATTCCTGATCGAGGCTATCATTCCAAAACCTTAAATTTTGAGTATAAAATAATAGAACTGAGAACATTTGTATGTATCCAATATCGGTTAGCTGTTCCTTACTTTCCTTCGACTTAGGATTGGTGTCCTGAAAATCTCTTCCTTACTTAACCATATGGTGAAAACGCAAGGCAAGTTTTTGATTACTTGAAAAACTCAGCGGATTTAGACGCAACGTGGTTTTGCCCTTCGTTCTTAATTGTTTAGTAATTTATTTTTAATTTGTTTTTTTTTTTTATTTTTTTTAACGCAAATATGCCAAGAACATAACAATAATCACTAAATAATTTCAGACTAAATAAACATTCACTACAACTGTAGTTTTCCTATTAAGTACAGTACGAACGAAAATCAAATCTTCGACGCAAACCATAAACTGCATTTCCGTTCGAACAAAAATTACAAAGCCATTATAAATACGATACACTTACATGTTAATATGCATACATAGGTCTAGTAAAAAGTAATTCATTTTTTTTTTATAAATTAAAGACTTTATTTACCGTAGTTAGAATTAACCGATTTATGGCAAATATGCATCGTTTTGCTCGTTAACCTTTTGTCATTCTTGAGGTAATGCCATTATGTCTCTCTCATAGAAACCCTTACCCCCATTGGCAAACAATTGGGACAATCGAAGGCTTCGCTTGAGGCCGATTCTTCACCAACCAAATCATTACCCATTGACAGGCACGGGATGGTAATCACTTAGTACTAGGTACATCCTATTTGGCGAATGAATAAGTACATCCTAACCAAACTCTCGAAGCCTCTGGCGACTCACGATCGATCTGTGTGGTTTGCTGTTGTTGTCTAGATGAAACACAATTCCACTTCTGTGGGTCAAAGCAGGGCAAATCTGACTTTCTCAAATCCCACCCGACACAACAAAAAATTTACTGGCGATCAATCCTGGCTTGGGGACCACTTGGGTCTGTTCGTTGCGCTCGATCACGGCAGTTTTCATTTGACGTTACTGTAAGTGATTCACTTTTCTTTAACAGTCACCAAATGTTTCAGAAAAGGGCCAATTTTGTTATGATTCGATGCGGGTTGTCCTCTTTAGCTCATACCTCGAGCTTCTTTGCGTATCAAGCCTTTTTCAAGTGATTCCAAGCTGTTTTTCGTACAATGTTTCGCTACTAGGCAATCGTAACAGTATTCACAAGACGATCGGATGCGACGATTTCCATTGTTTTATCGACATTTTCGACAGTTAGTCCTCCACAACGTAGAGCATCTTTTACCTACAAATTAGAGGAACGAAATCTACATGTTTGACTATTACACTTTTCTCATTTCCAGCTGTCTGACTTGAGTTCTCGCCCTTATCTGAGAAAAATTGTAGAATATCGTGAATTTTTTTCATGGCGTAATCCAATGGCTCTAATACAATACGAGAGACAGATCACTAAAGCCATTTAAGGCAAAAATAATGGATTGCTTTTTACTAGACCAGTTATTCAGGGAGTTCAATTTAGATGATAAGTCTGTTCATTGAGTTGCTCTAGGTTACGCTAGGTTACTCTACCTCACAAAATTGTGTTTCATGACACCTTTCGTGCTCTTACTTGCTCTACTCTTTGTTTCATGAGTATGCTCTGAGCAGATATAATGCAACTTAGAGCATGATTTTCAGCTCTGACTTTTTTTGTAGAGTAACATAGAGCCAGCAAAATAATTGTTTTGACAGGTCTGTCTGCAAAGTTTTTATTTAAAAAATTAACCATCAAATTAACTCTAAGAAACGTGGAGAGTAAAAAAGAAAAGAATACAACTGGAAAACGAAAGTGGACACATTGTGACCATAGAATGTTCGCAGCGAACAGAAAATAACTAGCTTCGGAGCAGTGAATTTCTGATGAGGATAAAAGCGAATTATCTGAGTCTGAAGAATATAGATATTCTTTCATGATTTCGGTGATAATATATTTAACCATTTTATATTTTGTATATGTACACAAATCTGCATATCTAAAACACTTGATATTTGTCAAATGAAAATTCAAACATTCAACTGTTTTGAGAATTTCTACCTGGAAAGTGTTTCATGAGACTTCTGCTCCGAGTTGCTCCAACTTACTCTTCAGTTTTTTGACAGCTGCTCTACTCTGTTTTCAGTCTCAATAAACAGACCTAATGTCTATATTGGATTAATAAACAATTTCGTTCCTCAACTTGTAATATATTTTCTTTATTATTTCATAAATATTTTAATATGTGGTATTTGTTAAAAAAATAAATTCTTTAATCGTTAATAACGCATTATCGGCATATTATCGCGTCGGCATTCCTCGAAGGTGAGGAAATGTTTGGCCATTGTAGTTGTGCCGCAACCGCTGGTGTAGAGACTCACACAATTCCCGGTGGCTGCATTGTAGGCATAACGGAGCAATTTGCTGTCGCAGAGTAACGGCATCGGCGGTAATTTGCAAGCGGGAACTAGAAAAAAAATTAAAAAAAAAAATATTTAGTGGATGAAAACATAAGATTAAAAAGCAACAAAAAAGAAGAGCTGTCTGAAAGACTCTAACATCAACACAGAAAATTTATTGCATTTCATTTTGTGCTTAAATATTAATTCTTATATATGAGCATATCACTTGAAGCCATATGATATCGTCGGCTGAACTGACTGGTTCCCACAAATGATCATTACATTAAAAAAGTACACTTGGCTACCAAATTTCGTTCAAACATCGAAAATATATTTACTAGAGGAAGACGAGTTTGGGTTCAAACAGACGGAAAGATAAAAAGACCGATAGTCGGGTATGGTTAAATCAACTCAGCTCGCCATTCTTACCTAATCGGTATATATTTTTATAGGTCTCTCCTTCTTCTATTTATGGAACTTCCATATTTCGGATCAAGGTTTATATACCATTTCAAGTCCATAAAAGGGAAAATTAAAAAATACAGGAAAATAGCTGAAGAACCCATATTGAAGCTCGCTACGTACAGTCGCTGTGAAATCAATTGGGTTCCGATAAGGTCGAAAAAAAGAAAAAGTAAGGAACTTTCAACTGCATCGGAGTGAAAAAAGAATGCCTACCTCGCAAGGTTGCGGTGTGGTGTGTAGATTCCAAAGGCGCATTTACGGCTAAAACTTCCAACACCGGAGCATACTCATGTCGGCACCGAAAAGATATTCTGATGACCGATATCTACAGCTAACTGAGCTTATGGAGGGAGCACTTTTTCAGCCTGCTGAATTGCAGTCAAAGACCGAAACCAAAAGCGATGATGATGAAAGGAAAGACATTCCCATACCTGTTTAAAACGAAGTTCTTATATCGATTGGCTGCTTAAAGAATAACAAAGTGGCGGAAGCCGATGACTTACTGGCTGAGCTACAACATATCTGTGATTAAGAGCCGACAAGGTGCAGAATAAGCTCGGATGAAAGCTTGGTTGTGCCAATGTCGGTCCTCGCAATCTGTGCCAAAGTCCTGTGATATATGCCTTCTCAATATCGCATATACTGTCTTTTCTAGCCCATTGTTTGAACAAAATTAAAGCTCACAGTCAACGAACTGATTGACCCCTATTAATTTGCCTGCATACCTAACAAATCTACCATTGATCAGTTGTAGACAAAATACCTCACACACTACCACTTCGTAAGCTTCAAAGCTTCCATTCTTCTACATCTTTTTCTTGCTGCTTCTATACCTCTTTTAATTTGGTATTTTCACCGAACTGCATTAGCTGAAGCTAAGAGAAGTGATCTGGAAGTATCTATAGGAGTAATTGTATACTAAACGATGTGTCAGACCAGGCGACTCCCTATCGGATGACTTCTGAATGCTGAGAATGTGAAATCTTCTAAAAGAGGGCAAAATTTCTGGCATATGCCGATGAAACTAACATCGTCGGCTTCAATACGTCTTACCATATGAGACAGAAACGTGGTCGACGGCGAAATCGGTTGTAACAGCGCTGGTCTAGAGAAAAATTCGACACATGATTAATGGACTCTTTTCATACGGCAACCTTAACATACGAGTTCAGTGAATTAAGGGTTCCCCCTTGGTCTAGAATTTTGAAAAAATCAAAAAAAAAAAAAAATTTTGCATTAAAAGGTGCTTTAGGGTCTATGAAATAACATACCAAAAGATGGATGCCGACAAAAATGTCTAAAAGGTCAAATTTTTCATTCGACGGCAAAGCCTCGCAGTTATGCCCCGAGCGACCTACAACTTTAAACGCGTTTTTCTCGAAATCACTTTTTTTTAAACTGGCCGAAGACATAACTCGAACAAATCTTCACCGATTCTTACGAAATTTTGACCGTACATTCGAAATACCGTTCTCCGAAGACGTACGTAGAATTTTTTTATATTACATAGTTTTTTTTTTTAACAACAATTTTACAACTTTTCGGACTTAATATACATTATATTAGGGCAAGTAAAAAGTTCATTCGGTTTTTATCCAAGAGATGGCGTTATTGTCCATAGTACTAGTGTTGCGTGTCGCATCATGTCATACTATACGGCGCTGAAAATGTGTTTATTTGCGCTAAAAGTTTGTCTTTGACAGTTTTTCGATTGATTGACTCGGTACGTTGTGAGCGCTCTTCAAAGATGGATACCAGCATAGAGAAAATTCGCTATATTTTACAATTTTCCTCCGATCAAGGCGAAAAAGCAGCCGAAGCGGCTGAAAAAATTTATTTAGCTTATGGGACGGATACTGGAAACGAATGTGTAGCACAAAAGTGGTTTGCTAGGTTCCGTTCCGGTAATTTCGACGTCAAAGATGCACCACGCGTCGGGAGGTCTGTTGTCGAAAATTGCGATAAAATCATGGAAATAGTGGAAACAGACCGTCAAGTGAGCCCTTATTTAATTGCTGAGGAACAATAGATAAGCCAAAAACCGTTTGGAACCATTTGCATAACCTTGGATTCAAAAAGAAGCTCGATGTTTGGGTGCTACACGAACTCACGCTAAAAACATGATAGACCGAATTTCCATCTGCGAATCGCTGCTGAATCGCAACAAAATCGACCCGTAACTGAAGCGGATTGTGACTGGCGATGAAAAATAGGTTATTTACGACAACATCAAGTGCAAACGGTCGTGGTCAGAGCTCGGGGAAGCGGCTCAGACGGTGGCCAAGGCCGGATTGACGGCAAGGAAGGTTTCGCTGTGTGTTTGGGCGGAATCATCTACTACGAGCTGCTCTCCTATGGCCAAACACTCAATTCAGCCCTCTACAGGTAACAATAAGACTGTTTGAAGGCACCATTCATCCAGAAGAGGCCATCTTTGATCAACAGAGGCCGAATTGTGTTCCATCAGGACAACATCAGGCCACGTACGTCTTTGGTGATGCGCCAGAAGCTCCCGGAGCTCGGATGAGAGTTGCTAATGCACCCACCTTATAGTCCGGACCTGGCACCAAGTGATTACCATCTTTTCGTGTTAATGGGGAACGCGCTTAATGGTGAGAAGTTGACCTCAAGAGAGGCCTGTGAAAAGTGGCTCTTCGTGTTTTTTGCCAATAGGGAAGCAGCCTTATACGAGAGGGGTATAATGAAGTTGGCATCTCGTTGGCAACAAGTTTACGAACAAAACGGCGCATATTTGACTTAAATCAGACAAATGTACACAAAGTTAACAAACTTTGAAAAAATCAATAAAAAAAAAAACCGAATGAACTTTTTACTGGACCATATTATATAAGAGGTGCATTGTAATCCTTGAAGCAATTTTCGGCCAAACTTCTCCTCTTGCACCTTGATGCGTTTTTAACAAAGATGGTATGATTTACAATTTTTTCTGAGCCGCCTACCAACCCGGTTAAGGGATTTTTATAACTTTCATATCTGAAATACCTTCGGAGGCTGGACGCCAAAGAGCGAGCGTAATTAGAAAAATTGTTTTTCTATAATTTTTTTGATGTACAACGCGGCCTCCCGAAAGTTAACCACCCTTATTAATTTGAATAAAAAATTAAGTTACATTTTCTAATTGCGGTTGCCCCTTTTGCAGGGAATGTTCACCCCTCCGAGTGTATTTCGGATATGAAATAAAGGCTCCTCGTTAAAAAAACTATCAGCCGTTCGGGGATGGCTTAGTATAAACTGTAGGTCCTTCCACTTGTTGGAAAAACATCAAGACGCAAAACCACGAATTGGAGGAGGAGGAGCTCGGCGGAAAAATTCCTTCAGCGGTTACAAAGCGCCAATCATATAACCACTGGACGTTTGCGCTAAATATGTGCTTATTATAAAGAATAAATAAATTATTATTGTGATAATTTACCTGATTTATTAACAGCGTAGTTGGTGTGTGCGTAGCTCCCTTGAGTAGCGCAAGCGAGTAAAAGCAGAAGGATAATCGCTCTCCTTCGTTGTTGAAAGTCAAAGTGGGCAAAGCGCAGCATTTTGTTGTACCACATTTTATATATGTATTTTCTTTGTCTGTTCTTAAAAAGGGTTTTTTTTATTAAACTTAAAAGTTTATTCAAAATTTACCACGAATTAAAAGCACTTTTGGAATACTTTCTTTGGCACGGCTCGGACACGAGTTGTGAGCTTCAACATTTGACACACGCATTTAATGGTTTCTTTGCAGCTACACACGCTGAAGAGTGGACGGTGAATATTTCAAAGTAAATAAGAAGAATTGCATCAAAATTTAACACTTTCTGCGGCAAACTGAGACGCTCTCATTCACTCACCCAACCGCCGCGGCGCGCTTTTATGTCAAATAAGGGACAAATTGCATTATAGTTGCTGCCATTAAGTGTTGTTGTTGTTGTTTTTTTTTTGTGTGGTTGTTTTGGCTACAGCTGTGACAGTTGTTTGCAATTTTAAATATTAAAATAATTTCTTTATTTTATTTAAATGTATTTTTTCTTCGATTTTTGTCTTTATTTTTCTCTTTATTTTTCTCGCGTCAAAATTTTCGCTCACAAAACACCGTTCGCCGTGTCGGAACAAGCAGCGTCTTTTGCAAAAGAATTATTTTAATTAAGAAATTACTTAGTAAGACAGCAAGAATCTGCTTTTACTTCGTTGTGTTGTGGTTATTATTGCTATTGTTTTTGTTATTGTTATATTGCTGTTAGTTAGCCTGTTGGTGTTTATTTGTTTACACTTTTTTTCTTTCGTTTTCCACTTTTTTCTGTTTCTATTTATTTAATTATTTTGAAATGTCACACACGCCAGGCGCACGGCAAACGCTTGTTTTGAAGATTCTCGTAGTTGGCTTTGCGTATGTTTGGTTGGCTGTGCTTACTGTTTACCTCACGTACGCCCACTGGGTGGAGCGCGGGGGGAAGTATTGCTCAAATTATGTGCCCATAAATTAATATTTTAAAGAATTGGTGTTTTTCTTTGCGGAAACGTGTGAGCCACGTAACTGTGCTGAAGTAGAAGCTGAAGAGAGAGCTCTTTTTTATGTAAGCACGCTCTGTGCTGTTGCAGTCAGATAAGATACAGTGGGGTGGTGCGGGTAAAAATGTGATGAATTTTTTGATAATAAAAATTGAAAATAAAAATTAAAAAAACTAAAATAGTTAAAAATAGACCAATAGTTTCGCATAAGAACTTTCCAAAAAAAACTCTCACAGTTTCTAATGAGTCACTAACCAAGTTTATATTCGTTACGCCGATTAAGTTGATTAAACATAATTCCCCTCCTTTTGGTCAAAGCTGGGCGCCTCTAGACGATCGTTTCCTTCAGATAGGCGTATTAAGAGCTTGAGCGCAGGGGAGAAGCTCATAATGGATGGTTCCTTACCAATCCCACCCCACTGCCTATACAACAAAACCTTTCTGGTCGTCAATACTGGTTTGAAGATATCGTTGCTTTCGTTGATTGCGTGGCATGTAGCGCCGCTTGTCCAGATGAATACCATCCAATTCCGGCCATAAAAAAATCATTAATCATTCACCGGTGCTCCAAGCTCCATCTTCGAAAAAGTAATGTCCTATCGCCCCGCCGGATCATAAAACTCATCAACCAATTACACGTTGAGGCTTTTCAACAATAAGTCTAGGGTTTTCCGAGCTCCAAATGCGACAGTTTTATTTATTGACTTAGCCTTGAGATGGAAATGGGCCGCATTAGTCAAGATGATTTTTTGTTGAAATTCCAATATAAGAAGGAGCTAAGGCACAAAAGTGTAGTTTTAATGGAATTCGATGGAAGAAGAAAACTATTGAGAAACGCTTCAAGCACGTTACTTTGCCAACTCTGGATTTTTAGTTTTATGGATCTGTCTCAGACCATATATTTTTGGGAAATCGCTGTATGTGACGTACTAAAGAGATTCCGTGAGCACTATTCATATATATAACTAATTTCTTAGTTCTCTTTCATGAAGATCTCGAGCTCACCGTGAGACTCGAATAATCTTAGCAGAACTAAGGTGTGAATGCTGTAATCCACGGACCATGCACTGAATATGTTTAGCATGCAATGAATACACGGACGACACTAACCATTTCTTTGCATGTGTCCCAAAATCGACTATTCCAATATTCCTTTTGTTCTTACCAGTCGAAAAAAACTTATTTCTTGGGTATCTCTTTGATATGCATTAGTATTGTCTGCTTCCAAGCAACAATTAAAAGAACAAAAACATCGGAATTCGATTGAAGCTCAGAATAAGACCTCACAATCTTCGATATAGTTTGTAAAAAATTTTTTGTGAAAACACCGTTAAATCATATTCATTATTCAAATGTAAAGACGTTATTCTTTTTATGGTTGATTATGTCCTATCTGATAGCATGGCTCACAACTGAGGTGCCAAATTGTAACAGAAGTGATCCAGAGACTTTCAGCTCTTTTTCTGCTGACATATATCGATTGGTTTTTTTTCAGAAAGAAACTTAGTTATGAAGCATTAGATCAGGGAATTAACGGGCGATCGAATGAAGGGTAATATTAGATGATTATGTTTATGGTCGGTTTGTAATATTTATAGGTAGTTTTGAAGAAGCACTGACTTGCACTAACCTCCCGCGAAATCCTCCTGGATTTGAGCTGATTTAAATTTATGAAAATGCCATGCAAGACTTTACTTCGACTCTCATCTCATGGGAAGTCATCTTCTATTGGTACAGAGCAATAAAGGACTTTAAGGGCTCAATGAAAATACAGAAAACAAGATTTTCATTGCTAATTGCTATTGCTCTCAGTCTTATATACTAAATAGTATATTAACTTTCGTCCGAAGTATGTAAATACCAGAAGGAGAAAGGAGACGGGATAGAGCAATCAAAATTTACACCGATCGGATCAGAGTGACGAGTTGAGTTCATTTAGCCATAACCGTAACTAGTCCCTCAACGATCACTTAACGGAATCGGTCAGATCGGTCCACGATATTTCAGATTTAAGATTTTGTGTTAGAAATTTGTCAAAAAATCATCAAAGAGCGAGAAAACTGTTATTATACATTCATATCTACAAATGAATATTGTAACCGGAAATTATCGAAATTATCGATTTATTATAAATATGAAATGGCCATGAAAGACATAAGGACTCCGACATGGTCGAAGGCTGAGCATTTATTTTTGTTGTTGTTTATATTGTTTTGTTTGTTTTTCAACATTTTTGTAAATCACAAATTGATTTTTTTTGTACTTAAAAGCTTACTTGCGATGGTCTTTTGTTCTAAATTTTTTTTTTGTATAAAAAAATTATATATTTTGTAATCCCAATAATTCAACGCACCATTCATAGTTGTTCATCATTTTATTCATATACATACATACATAAATTTACAAAATATAGAATGGTAATAATTAGGTTTTATTCATTTTATGTTAAATTTAAGATTTTGTAAATTAGTAATAGGCAAATATGGTTGCAAATATTTATATACATACATATGTGTGTATATGTAGATACATATTTATATAAAATTTTTTGCTTCACAAAGCACGCAAAAATATACATATACATATCGTACAATAGAAAATAAGAAAAACGAAAGGCACTTAATGGGTGAATTTAATTACACATTTCTTCTTCTTCTTTTTCTTTTTCTGCTTATTCTTAATTTTGTTGCAACTCTGCTGCCTTTTACCTGCTTATATCCGCTTCACTCACAATTAACAAGTTGAATTTTAATATATATATATAAAACTAAATAAATGTAGATATACATACATGTACATGTACATATATATATTTCATAAGTAAATAGTGGGTATGTATACAATATTTATATTCATTAATAATATAGACATACATACATATGTAGTTATGATTTTTACTTAATAAACCCTCAACTAAACAAAAAAAAATATATATATATATACCTATGTATGTTAGTATGTATGTAATATATGTTTGTTTGTTTGTTTGTTTGCTTAAATTTTGTAAGTAAATTTGCATGATTTTTGTATATAAAAAAATTTACCACATATATATATAATTTATAATTTCTTTTATATTTACATATGTAAATAAGAAAAAAATTAAAAACAAATATTAATGTTCTTTTAATATAGCTCATAAATCATAAATCAAAAAAAAAAATTAGTAAAACTAAAATTAAAAAAGTTACTAACAATAATCGCTCAATAATTTCAGTTTTTTGACCACGCGATTTTTTTTTTTTGAAAATCATATGTTTTTATATAAAATGATATTTTTTTAATTGCAAATATAGCTTACATTTACATACAAACAATTGAGCAAAAAATCGCAAATATTATAAATTTTTTTGTTATAAAATTTTTTGCCTTTTTTCACAAATAAATATGTGTGCATTTAAGCAATTAATTTATTATAAATAAACTTTAAATAATTTTTTTTCGTTAAATAAACATAAATTCTTTGCTTTGCGCCTATCAATGCGTTCTTAAAAAAATATACTTGAATATGTATGTATATATGTATGTGTTAGTAAACTTCATGTAAATTAATTAAAAATATATATAGTACTATATGCATGTGTGTTTGAGTGTATATGCAACAGATTTTTGTGAGTAACAGTAGATACGTACATTAATATTATTACAGTAATTACATATATATAATATATTAGAAATATTTATATGCATATGCTTAAACAAAATCAGCAATATTTTCTTGCCTTAAAAAATCTATTCTTTTTTATATATAAATATTTTATTTTTTTTTTGAAATAACAGCCAAAATAAAATGATAACTGTGCATTTTTACAGTGTCGTGTGCTTTTCGGCTTCTGCTTTTTCTTCTGCTACTTATTTAAGCTTATTTAATATTCTGCTCTCGATTTCTGATTTTCCTCCCACTCAAAAGTCTTTATCCCAACCGGTTAAGTCATCTGGCGGTGGTCCCTCTGGATCTGGTGGATATGCATCGAAATTCGTTGTGTCTATGACACTCTTGACTGTTGGCTTGATTGGCGGTTCCAGTGTGCGATTTTGTAAGCCCAGCCAATAGAAACCGTCGAACCAGCTGTAAGTAAGGTGGGAAGAAAAGAAAGAAGGTTTTTAGTTAGAGAATATCAATTTATTATTAGTTTTATTTTAAATTGTAATAATGTGTTGCGCTGATGAATGATGAGTTACATACCTTTCCTGTTCTATTTCGACTTTTCATAATCCTTAGCATGTAATTTGTTTTTTTTTTTTGATTTTGGTAAGCATTTTCAATAGTGAATAGTGTAAAAAATTTATAGCAAAAACATTAAATTTATTTAATTGTTATAAATTTATTCTAATTCACAAGCAAAAATTAATTTCTATAAAACTGGAAAAAACAAAAGGTTTTTCTAGCAGACAAAATTAAAAAGCTACAAATTATTAGCACTTAAAATTATTCTAGGATTTTTTTTTTTGGAGTCAATAATAATGATATTAAACAATATTAATACAATATTACGTGAATCAATCTTTATAAATATATATAATTGTACTATATGTGTGTATGATATACAACGTTTGGGCGGCGCTCTGTATGGTTTAGATTCACAAATCAGCCTGGCAGATAGGCGCGGGACCAGGGACTGACCTATACGAAAAATACGGTATATGGTTCGATTTACTTGAAATTCTGGCTTTTTGCTTAGGTTTTCAGGAAGAGTATTCTTCGCTCTGGGTAATGGGCCTATTTGAAAAAATCGCATTTCTATTTGTCTTTGCTTGACATTTGTTTTTACAGAAAAGGACAAGATATATTTGAAAAAATATGCATATTCATGGTTCGATTTAGTTTTTTTTTGTTTCCTGTAAATGGAAATCAAGTTCGATTAGCTGGAAATATAAATAATACTGTCTTTACTGGCAAAGGGATCATTGACAGATTGACAAAATTTACTATGATTTGAATGTAAGCGTAGATCGTGGGCAGGTATGTTAGCTTTGCATTTTTATGACTCTGCGACTCTGCGAAAGGTATCCGTATAAATACGTTCAACTTCAGCGTGGATAAACATGTTGTTGTTTTTGTTGCGGTTCGCTAAACACGCTTTAGCACAGGTTTCATTAGGCTAAGTCCCCGAGTTCATCTAATGGGAGATCTAGGAAACGAGCTGTTTCAACGGGGTTGGAACAAAGGAAGAGGGTGGTTAGATGGATTGGTTTGAGAGGGCATGTGAAGAGGTGGTTAGTGTCGTGCGGAGACATGCAGGGCATACGTTGGGTTTGCTGGGGTCTAGCCTAGTTAAGTAGGAGTTTAACCTGCTACAGTATCCAGACTTGAGTTGTGCGAAGGTCACGCGGGTCTCCCGAGGCAGCACGAGAGCTCGTTGTATGCTCTAAGCACGCCATTCACCTGCGTCTCGTTCGTCCCCGGCGCCCAGATCGGAGCAGCATCGTTTATGACGGCCAATTGCCTTATAAGTTTCCAGCAAATTTTCTTTGTCTTTACCCCAGGTGCTGACGGCTAACGATTTGAGTATTTTGTTGCGGCTCTAGGGTTTTGCGGCAATTGCGGTCATACGCGGAGTGAAGGAGTGTAGGCTGCCTGGTATTACTCCCAATATCGTACAATCATCGGCATACGAGGTTCAACTTGAGCGTGTATAAGCATTAAACCAAACGGTGCTTTTGGCTTACTTCATTTGGCATTCATATCGACATTTTCGTGAAAGACTTTGAGCAGCGAAAGTACTGCTCTTTGATCGGTTGGATAGTAACAATTTTTACCAAACTTTACTGAATCGTGTTCGTTGAGCCAAAAACTCTGTAAAAATTGGAAACATCATGGCATTGCCATGCGGTGACAATTTTTCATTTACATGGCGCTCTCATAAGATATGTTGCTGTGGCTGGGAGGTATGTAAGATGGGTAGTTGGTTGGAGCATAAAAGTTAGCCAGTAACGATATGTCAAAATTGCGCTCTCTCGGTGAAAATTTTACAGTAAAAAATTCAGTAAAAATTGGTACTGCCAATCAGGTAACCGAACAGAATTAATGTCTTGCCTGTTCCACGATTTTCTGATTTTGTAAAAACTGGATCAAAGAATTTGCATGATTTTTTTTTGTAAAAATAGAACCTGACGTCCAAGAAGGGTTGTAGAGGGTACGAGATTTCATAGTTATTAGAAAATTCTTCGAACTAAGCTCCTTATCAAGCAAAGAAAATCAGTTGCGACTATAATGAATGGGATATCTATGGTTTACGGCGGCTCTTATCCGTGAAAAAACTATATTGTGCAACTGGCACAGTTTTTTTAACAAGAACCTTTTCTTGGACCCACAGGCAGGCAAGAGCTAGAATATATCAAAAAAGTTCAAAATAAAGAAACAACTCCTAAAATTGGTTGGAGTATCCGATACAACCTGCATAAGGTGGGTTTCGAATTACCCAGCCCATATTCTTGTCCTTACAGAGCTGGTTCAAGTATTACTTGTTTTTAAAAATTAAAATAACAGCCGAGTTGTAGAAAATTTATCCCCGTTGTTGAGTCAAGGAGGTAGTTTCGGCGCATTTTAAAGATAAAGAGAAAACATTTTAAATAAATCATAAACCCTGCGGGTAAATAAAAAAGAATAAAAAATATATCCGTCTTACAGGTCAATAAATTGAGAGGTTAATGTAATTTGTCACTGCTTATCCCCTTTTCAGGCAACAAAAAACATTATCAAAAAGTAAAGAATGTCGTTAAATCTTTGTACATATTCGAGAATATAAAAATGTGAAATGACAAGCAAATTTATAATATAATATAAAAAAACTGTACTGAGCGTACTCACCGATGCTTTTGTATTTCACTAATACCACCGCGTTGATAACCCAAACGTTCAGCGGGATTATCACGACACAATTTCTTAATCAAATTACTGGCATTGCGTGTAATGTCACGGGGAAATTCGATGGCATCAATACCCTTCAATATAATATTGTAGGTGCGCATTGGATCTGAGCCGGTAAATGGCGGTGTGCCTGGGGAAAAATGAGGAAAATTTAAAAATTATTATCACACGTCTTCAGAAAGTGGGTCAATAATAATGTTTGTTTTTTCTTTCTCTCTCTATCTTACCCGTCAGCAGCTCAAACATCAGCACACCAAGTGACCAATAATCAGCGCTAATATCATGACCTCGATTCAGTATCACCTCAGGCGCCACATACTCCGGTGTGCCGCAGAACGTCCACGTTTTACGACCTGATTGTAGTTTCTTGGCAAAACCGAAATCCACCAGCTTCACATAGCCCTTCTCGTCGAGCAGCAGATTTTCCGGCTTCAAATCACGATAGATGATATTGCGTGAGTGCAGATATTGGAAGGCCTCCACCACGCAGGCAGTGTAGAAGCGTGTAGTGGCATCATCGAATTTACAACGATCACGCAGTATGGTCCATAACTCGCCACCGAGGCAGCTCTCCATTAGCATATACAAATATTTGCGATCCTTAAATGTTTTGAACAATTTCACAATAAATTGACAATTGGCTTCGCCCATAATCTCCTTTTCGGACATAATATGTTGTTGTTGGCGTGTTTCGACAATTTGTGACTTCTTCATCTGTTTCAACGCAAACGAGCGGCTACTATCACCGTTAATTTGCACCAACTCAACGCGTCCGAAACCGCCAACACCGAGTGTGGCGATTATACGCAAATCGGTCAGTTTCACATTGTCGAATTCCTCATTAATTCTGTTGGTGGAAGATGAGTGGCGGTGAATATGGGGAAAAGCAGAAAAGAAAAAAAGAATAAAAAATAATTAGTATTTGTATTAAAAAAAAAGAAATGATGTCAAGAACGTCTGCATGCATGAAGAAACCAACTATTTACGCTTGCGTGTGCAGTGTGCGCAGCGTGTGGACCGTGTATCGTGCGCTTAGTTAGCTTCTAAATGTGTTAAACTGACTTACTTTTTGCGCTCGCCTATGCATTCATCGTCGTAGCGATGCTTAATTTCATCTAAATTCGATATCAGTTGGTTGAACGTCTCTCGATCGATCACCAGGCAAGTGACGCCATCGGCGGAATCACATATAATATTCGCTGTACGCAAGTCATCGCTGTGTGAGGAAAAAGAAGATATGATAAATGAGACTTATTTCTCAATTTCACTTTATTTTTGCCACAACTCACCCTTGCAACGCCTTCTCGCCGAAGAAATCTCCTTTAACCAGTGTGCGTATGAATTTCTCCTCTTGCGTATCCGGCTGTTTGATCGTTACGCGCACTTGACCCTTCGATATGATAAAGAAGGTATCACCGCGTGCTCCTTGACGTACAATGTAGTCACCCATTTGGTAGTGGGTCTCTTCTAGCACATCTGAGATTTTGATGAGTGTATCTTCTGGCAGATTTTTGAAGATGGGCACACTGAAGATAGGAAAAAGAGAACAGAGATTAAGATTTGATAATTTGATACTCAAGTGGGATACGTAGGAAGAAAGAAGCACTCAGGTAGGATATTTTAAATTTTGACGACACCGCAGCGGCAATGAAAATCTTTGATCCACTTCCAAAAAGCTCGTAAATTGTGATGGTGGAACAAAAAAAGCCTCCTCATTTAAGTTTCTAGTCACAAGGATACCGAGAGAAAATATAGGCAGATGAGCTTGCTAGAGAAAGGTAAAACTAAGTGGATTCTTTCAGTTAAAAACACATTGATGTATCTTAATGTTAATAAAGTAATTTTTAAAGGGACATATCAAATTATGGTGCGAAGATATTTCTAAAGTAGCAAAAGCTCCAACAGATCTTTGAGTGAAAGGACTGCAGGCAGAAGAGCTGGGTATATCTTTCAGTAGGCATTTAAGGAGCTGTGAAAAAGATTAGGAAGAGTATACGATTTTTCATCTACCAGGCGATTACTCTGAACGAGAACAAGAGCTCGAAACGTTGATGTCACATTTCTAGATCTCTTATCATACAATTCATTGGGGAATCCGAGTGGACGGAGTACGAGTTCTTAAGAGATCAGAAAAATATCGTACATTTGACCAGCCTTAATGAAAGTGTGTCTATAACTGCACAAGGGCGAAAACACTTTCCTAGCTCGTAAAGAAATGACTTGAAGCCTGGGCGAAAAAATATATGACCACAATTCTACATTTCTGTTTAGATGTTCCGAGGTAGCAAGTAACTACCTGAGAAGATATACGGTAAATCAAGAGAGAGTCAGAGGAATAATGAGAAAAATAATTCACAACAGCAGCTTAAACCAAATGGTTACTGATAAAAACCACATATCGACGCTCTCATTGCTGACGATGGAAGAGACGTATACATACAAAACCCGTCCAAGGCGGAAAATAAGAACAACTATCCTTACAACAGTTGAGGCTGACGATGAATACGTTTCGATGTTGTTCCAACAAATGGAAGAAATTAAAGGTTTAAGCCTCCACCAAATGGCTGAGGGGGAAAGATAAGAATATTTGATTGGGCAATCGAAAGAAATATTGCTCGAGAAACCATAAGACACTCTTTTCTCTGGTAAGGTTGACAAAAAATGAAAATGAGAGAAGTAAACGGGAGAGTCCTTAATAATATTTTTTTTTTTGAGTTCAAATAAAGCGGCATGAAATCTCATTTCCTATCTTGGCTTGAGCCATCCTTAAGGTATAAATAAGAATGAAAACACAGGCGCAGTAACTGTGAAACTTGGGATAATTGGGAAATTGAGATGTGCATTTCTTAGTCCAGCTTTGGACCACAGGAAAAAATAGCAATATTGCCGAATGTAGTGTCAGAGAGCTAGAACGTAAGGAAAAACAAAACTCTCACCAGTTTTTTTTTTTAAATTATTGAACCAAATTTTTCTTTACTGAAAACTGATTTTATTCAAATACATATTGACTAAAAATTGTATATACGATCCTTGACATAATTAGAGTAGTTTCATAATTCCATCTAAGCAGCACTTTTATGATTTATGAGCAAAAATCTTGCTTAGCGGCTCTTCGGTCGGCCAATAGTAGTTAGATGACGCAAGATCCAGGCTTTATAGTGGAGTTATTAAAAGTTATCAATCAAGTTTCGTCAAGTTTTGAATGGGCAGCAAAGCTGTATGTGTCTGCCGCGGCCATGGCGAAATAAAAGCTGTTTTTTTTAAATTAATATCTTTTTTTCAGCTGACGCACGTTTCGTGTTTTGTATCACTGTCAACGGTCAAGCATCTTCAGTTTAGTCTATAATTTAACCATGAATCGTCTCACAAATGAACAATGCTTGCAAATAATGGAATTTTATTATCAAAAAGCGTGCTCTTTTAAGAAAGTTCATCGTGCGCTTCTTCCGCAGAATTGTCGATTTTGGAGTGAAAATCGGTCAGAAGCATTGCAAGAGCTACCAATGCGTCCAGAAAAAGTCACAGTTTGGTGCGGTTTAAGGGCTGGTGGCATAATTGGACCGTTCTGCTTCAAATATGATGCGAATCGTAACGTAACTGTGAATGGTGTGCGCCACCGTTAGATGATATCAAAATTTTTTTACCCAAAATGCAAGAGCTTGACTTGCATTACATGTGGTCTCAACAAGACGGTGTCACATGCCACACAGCAAGCGCAACAATGGACTTATTGAGAGGCGAGTTCGGTGAAGATTTTATTTCACGTTCGGGACCGGTCAATTGGCCGCCAAAATCTTGCGATTTAACGCCTTTAGACTACTTTGTGGGGCTATGCTAAATCTAATGTCTATACGGGCTAGTCCGCTTCAATTGACGCATTGGAGGACAATATTGAAGCATTTATTCGTGAGAAACCAGCCGAAATGCTGGAAGAGTATGCCAAAATTGGACTATGCGGATAGACCATTTGAGGCGCAGTCACGGTCAACATTAAATTATATGGACCGTACTATCAATTCAAATAAGGATTTCATGCATTTTTCTGAATTTTTTTGTGTTTATTTTTTTTTGAAAAACTTTCCTACTTTCCTTTACAACATCTTTTCTATTGATCAATTCTGGATGCTTTCTTTTGAAAAGCTGCTCATAAGCTCGTAAATTGTTGACAGTAGAACTGAGAATTGATCGTTTCGCCAGGTTGTAGCAGTCCATAATGGACAATGCCATTCCAATCTCATCATACGTTCAGCATTACCTTGTTTGACGCCAATTCAGACTTGGAAGCCGTTTTGGTGGGCCACGGGTCATTGCCCAAGAATTTTTAACGCTTTTTGCAGATGTGTTTTCATGAGAAATATTGCTTCAAAAATGAGCTTTCAAACACGTGGTCCGTTGTATTGCTCCCTCCTTTCCAGAAACCACTTTGCGTGTTTTATGAAGTAAGGGAGATTAAAATGATGCCTACAGATCCAAGCTATGCAAGGCAATTGATGTTGAAATTTTCGCGAAAATTTTAAAGGACCCACCTGAGCGTTGGGTAGTGGCGAAAGTCGTTGGGCTCCCATCCCCGGGTGTTCCGCTTATGGAAGCGCTGTTAAGTAAGAGTAAAGACCTTTCTGTTTACTTCGATCTATGGCTAGATTGGCCTGGTTGCAGATAATTTGCCGAGGGAAGTGGTATGCCCATATCATGTGCAGAGTTTACCGTAGTTGTGACTGTTCCCTTTCTGGTCAGCTCCACGGAAATGCAGTTCCGTGCTAGTTTGACACAATCGGATTAGTATTTATTAGCCGAAATAAGGCGTTCTCTTCCTCCCTTATTTCGGCTAATAAATAAATGATAATAACTGCAGAGTGATTTTATTATCCGAATTATAAATTAATTTGTAAATTTTCGTGGGAAAACTAACAGGAAAATCGGGGTAAATTTCAATAAATAATAGTAATAAAACTATTTTATTTTCGTGACTTAATTAAGCCACTTGAATGATAAAATCACCGTCATAATGAAATCGTTTGGAAAAATGGGAGAAAAAAAATGAAAATTAAAGTAAACCATAGTTTAACTAATGATTTAATTCGCCATTATTTTTTTAATTATATTTTCGCTACAGCAATGCTGCGAAAAAACCATATTTTTATTATATGACAAAATAATTTGTTAATAGGTATGTAATTATATGAACATACATGGCTTTTATAACCAATTATAATTATTTCTTTCGCCATAACCATTTCCACATTTTCCAACTTATCTAAGAAAACTTTAATTTCTTAGCAATTTTACAACTTAATTGCTTGTAATGCAATAGAAATTGGAAATTTGATTATACCGCTGCTGCTACTTTCCACTCGCGAGGAGTTGCGCAGAGCGAAGTTTAACACCCTAAACAGCGGCACTGTCGTGCTGCTCGTTCGTACAAGTCCCGGCAGTCATATAAAATATAACCAGCTTAGGCTTAGGCACTCTCGCAAAGGCAGGTAAGTCAACATAAAGTACCTACATAAGTGATGAACCTGCGCACAGCGAGTGCACGCCTGAGCCGGCCGTAGATCAGCTGCCGCTTGAGTGGCGAGCGTGCTAAACCTGTCACATCAACGGTTGCGCCAATTTGCCGCAATATTCAATGCTTGTTTTAGTGGTTTTTTTTTTGTATTTTGAAATTTTAATGTTTTCATTTTTATTACAAAAATATGTATGTATGTCTTTACACATATAAAATAATAAAAAGAAAATAAATCTTAAATTTTTTCACGGTCATTAACCGGGTTGGTGGCAGCCGTGTGGGCTGTCTGCGGCTCAACAAGTATGTGGAATGCGATTAGGTACATGTGAGGAGATTAACGAACATGGAAATTAAATTTTTTCAACCAAACTAAAAATCTTGAAAATTTATTATGTAGTATTTTTTTTGTTAAATTTCATTTCAATATTGACTTGCATATATTTACATGCATACATATATGGTTTGACTTTTATAATAATTTTTCTTATTTAAATCCTTGGTTTGGCTTTCAACGGCTGAGAGAATATTTTTTTTTTTAAATTTACGCAGTTTCCGTAAAGCTTGACACTGAGTTTTTTTTTTTTTTTTAATTTAAATTACATTCTTTAATATGGCAATATGGCTGCTGGTAAGCCTGCCGTTGACTAGAAAACTACCAGTTTGCATAGATCGAGTTCTATGTAGTTCAACATCCAAAATTATAGCAAATAATCTTTCACTTTAGTCTCGCTTCTCGTCAGGGCATGTTAAGCCCTTCGAGTGTTTTTTTTTTTCACATGAAACCAAATGCTCGTCAAAAGAATTCATCAGTCTAAATAAATTAAGTGAATTACTTGTAGAAATCGAACAGTGTCGATAAAAAAAAAATAAATGAAAGACCAAAATAACGCCTAAGTTTATATCTTTTCTCGGCAAAATACCTGCTAAGATCGGCCTTCATCAGTAGAACCAATAACAGATGGCAGCGGTTAGCAATACAGTAGAGTTCAAAGTATGTTTTGTTGAGTTCTTTTGATTAAT